CTCGTGAAGTGGGACCAATCGTCCGGAAAGTGGTCGGTGAGATTCTTGGGAGCTGGGGACTGCCTTTTTTTTTCTCTTTCCAGGATTCGTCTGGACATGTTTGTGGGGCCCACATTCGCGTCCATTTTATGACCCAAAAGTCAGCTATTTTGACGACCGCTAGATTTTCAAAGTGTCGTGCTCGAGACGAGTTTTGTGCCCGTTGCAATGGGGATGACCTGAATGGAAAATCATATATTTTTTTGAACAAAATAAACAATAAAACTATCCAACCACCGATACATCTGCCCGGACGATAAACAAATGTAGAACAGAATAAAAACATTCAGAAAATTGGACCTAACAGACAGACACATAATCGCATCTATTATACCAACGTTATTGATCGAGGAATTTGCACCCCTTACTATCAAATATGATTTATATTACACTTATAGACTCATTATATACTTATTTATAAAATTACTAAACCAAAGAAAAGATATTACAATTATACCTAAGATGTAACTGCTGCAATTATATGGAAACTTTCCTCACACATTAATTGTAATTCACACCACACCTTCCTCACACATTCACAACTCTCTCTTACATATTCCTTCCATCGAAGAAAAAAAAAAGAAACCTAGTTTTTTATCAAAATCATCTTATTTCAAAGCCTCAATAATGGAAGGAAGAACATCCTTTTAACAGTGAGAGCAAATCACATGGCGATTTTCCATATAATCGTAAGAAATCGCGAATTGACGGGAAGAATTGCAAAATTAAGAGAAATTGGTACAAGAAATCGTGTTTTCAAAGCAGCAGGCCCCGATCGAGGGTAGGGGTAATGGAGGTGGCGGCAGCGACATTGGTGGTGGATCCAACTCGGAGGGTTGGGAGCGTGAGGCTGTGTGGGTGGTTCCGTTGGATGAGGGGTCAATGGTTGGAGTGGGGCGGTTGTGGCGGTGGTGAGGGAAAATCGGGCTTGATTATACTGTAAGTTTTCGAGTTGTTGTACAGTATGGAGTGTGGCAAACCGGGCTTGATTATACTGCAATTCTGATTTTGGTGTATGAAGTATGACAAATCCGACATTATTTAAAGTTTATGAGTAGTTTTTAGGATTTTATGATGTGGGTTGAAAAAAAATTGAATGGAAAATGAACGGATGTTGCATCTTTGCTGTATATGCAGAGTGGGAAATCGGAGAGTGAGTGTGACAACTGGTCTGGAATGTGTTTGGGAAAGCTTGTGTTGAAAAATTCTATCTATTTAATATAATTTTATGGGATGGTTTTTCATTTTCTTATGTGTTTTTTAGGAAAAAGTAGCTTTGGAAAATTGCACCAAATTAAATTTTTGGATTAATTGATTTCATTTTCACAACTACAAGACCTGTTAGAAGAAAATAACAAGAAAAGGCAAACAAATAATTGGTAAGGCTTACACGAAGAAATACACATGTGTATATGTATGGTTTTATTCAGTATATTTTCGATATATGATAAAAAAAATTATCGCGAGACATAATATTTTTGTATAATATCTATTTAAAATGAGCATAAAGTGAATTTTTTTGTTGGTGTTGTGTATATTTATTGTTTTATATTAAGTAATTTATTATAATATGTTTATAAACTATATATATACTTTTATGTATACAAAAAAAAATATAATCTTTTATGGAAGACATTTTTTCATTGCAACATATACTAAATATATAATAACATAAAAACAATATATACCAGCCGCGTGAATTAAGGAATTCAAGTTGCGCACATATACTGAATATATAGTAACATAAACTCAATATATACCACTTGAGAGTTGCGTGAATAAAAAATTTCAGTTGCGAAAATTAAGGAATTAAATGAGTAAATCACGCCACCAAAGAATAACTGATATGGATAGAGAATGTTACAAAAGGTAACTGATATGTAGGCAATCACGTAAATAAAATAACTTGATTAGGTATATATCCTATTAATTATTCTAGGAAGGTAAAATTGAAAATTCTTTTATTTCATGTAGTATATGTAAAAATTTCCCGATCGAGGAATTTGCACCCCTTACTATCAAATATGATTTAATTCCTATATGTAATCCACTATTTTGGGCCCATTTAATTCCTGGGCTTTATTTATGGCCGTAATGAAGTTTGCTAAATGGAATGAGATATTTGTGAGCTCGGCATGTTAAGGCATGTGTCTGGCTCATACGAATCCAACTCGAGCTCATTGAAAACTCCTTTAGTCCGGCTCATTAATGTCGAACATAATATTTTTTAATATTTATAAATTTCTATAATTCGTCTCGTTAAGACTTGAGTTCGATAAGCTCGAACTCGAATCATTAATATCATAAAGGAGTTGAACTCGATCTCATCTACTGGTGTGTCTTGTTAAAGAGTTGATCTCCTCAGCTGTTAAATTAAAAGTCAAGCTTGGGTTCGGCTCGAGTTAGAGCCCTTAACGAGCGGAGTTTGAGCTCATTTAAAGCTCGATTGGTCAATGAGTCGAGCTAGCTTGTTTATTTAACTAGTCGAGCTCGGCTTGACTCGTTAAGACTCGAGTTCGGCTCGGGTCGTTTACAGTCCTAATCGCGAGAGATATGAGGTTAGAGGGGCTGACAAGGCTGTTGAGTTGGGCTAAGTAGAATATGGACAGAGCCAATTCGAGTGTGCCAAAATTCCAACAAGGATCATGATCGAGAGATTTACAGGGTCACTCTAAAGTGAAACTATACAGTTAATGCTAATTTAAACATGCTCAACTTACTGCCAAACCAGCAAACATACATGAAACAAAATTGTACACTTGTGTTAAAAATTGTTGTTGTATAGGACGAATCCTAGAAATGCTACTCCTGAAAGTTTCTTCTCTATAAGACTAAATATTGCAAGAATGTACATATATTGAGCAATGTGAATCTTTATACGCTATCAAAAAATTATTCGCGCAACAGACGACACACGTCCAAGTTATACTTTTATAGAAATTTAAACATGACATTTAAATGTAGTTTGTTGTACATGTTCCCAACTGGTCATAGTTGGAGGAGCCCTTCAAATACACTCGGATTCTCAGTTGGTCCTAAGGCAATTACAGGGAGGTTTCGAGATTAAATATGTTTTCTGTTTAAATCATAAATTCAAATTATATATAGAGATATGCGAGTTGCGATTATAAGGGAAACCAGACTAAGATAGATTCTGCTCAAACCTCTATTCTTCGAGAACACACGGCTCAACGAGTGTTTCAACAGTCAGATCAGGCACATTTACACATTTGAATTTCTGGTGATCATAACATTAAAATTATTAGGCATTAATATGATCAAATTCACCCCAAATACTCGAATAAGATATTGTAATGTAGAAAAACTACTTTGAGGTCTTGTTTTGTGGAGTAGAGTCGTGATACTAGACAAACTAGAGTGTTTTGACCTTACCGGTAACTACAATGCTGTTACTAAATTTTTTACCGTGGGATATAAGATATATGAGTCGGTTAAAACGTACATACCAACCGGGTTCGTTTCATCGTTTGGGCCGAGGTACAAAACATTGGCACGCTTCTCAATTTCCCATTTCCACAAATAGCCCTCCTTACACACACGCCGACATAACACTTGCTATTCTCAGCAAACAATAAGTCAAAAGAGCTAAATAGAATAGTCCATATTTCGAATATGCAAGAAAACTTTTTTTTGAATTCGGGGAAATATTACTGTCCCGTTGCAGAATCATTTCGTCGAGGTTTTTGTCCGTTAAATTATTAGGTAACCATCGAAGATAGTTACTCTAACGGTTATAAATCTCGACAGAATGGTCCCATAACGAGACGGTACACTACAAGAAAACACTTCAATTCCAACGGCAAAAATTTCTCTTGGAAATTCCAATGAATATTCCGACAAACTTAATTTTATGTTGGAATAAGTGTTGGATGGTTGAGGAATTCCAACTGATTTTTTCTGTTGGAATAGTTGTAGGAATTTATTTCCATAGGATTTTCCATTGGATTTTTGATATTCCAACGGCCGTTTTTCCGACGAATTTTTATACGTAAAAATATCTGTTGGAATAGTTATTCCAACGGAAAATATAAAGAATTCCAACGGAAATTTTTCGTTGCAATGTAAGAGTTTTTGTAGTAATGGTAGTATCTTCCATTACTTAAATATAACAATGTTTTTTAATAAAAATATAGAAAAACAACTATCTTATGCAACAAGATTTCATTTCATTTGTATCTTTTCTCTAGTTCAGTACTTTCTCCCTCTTTTATAGGGCGCGATTGCATATAAATAAAATCGATTCTCATTAAATTTATTGGTTAAATTTAGTCAATTTTTAATAAAATTGTTTGAGTTTTGTATTATAATATTGTTTAAAATGTAGTGATTAAAAAATTAAAAAGATGTAAAAGTAAGACAACAATCATTGGAAGTATGAGTACTTAAAAACATGTGAATAAATAGTGAATCATATTGATGTGATGTGCGATCGATTTGATTGATATTATTTAAATATATCGATAATATTAAAAAGAGTTGTGTTAGGTAATATTTGACTTAAATAATGAAAAAAAAAAATTATCCAGTCAATCAAAATCAATTAAATTTTATAGCGATTGGGCCTTCAATAGTTTTCAAACTTAAATATATATCAAGTATTTGTGAATGCAGAAAACTCTCGTAGAGAGACTCACTCATCATTGTCAGGTGTGCGACTGAGTCAGCCAACGAATTAGTCGGGACAAAACTCTAGATACGCTACCCAAAAAAAAAGTAAAAATAAAAAATAAAAAATCACCATCATCAAATCAAATTCAAGCTTATAAAAAAATGATTCACACTCTTCAAAAAATTTCCTCTATTCGCCCAATACCCCCTCTTTTTTTTTTTCCTCCGTTCTCTCAAACCCTAAAACCAAACTTTCATCTCTCAGTCTAATTATTTTCCACTACCTTTCTGAAGAAAAAACCCACACACACACACACACAAATCTCTTTACTATGAACTCTTCATCATCATCCTCTTCTTCATATATTAAACAACCAGAAAACAACAACAACAACAACGAAGAAGACGTGGGGCCCGCGGCCCAGCCGAGCCGTTACGAAAGCCAGAAGCGTCGGGACTGGAACACCTTTGGTCAGTACCTCCGCAACCACCGGCCGCCGCTCGACCTCCGCCGGTGCAGTGGGGCCCACGTCCTCGAGTTCCTCCGCTACCTCGATCAGTTCGGGAAGACCAAGGTCCACGGCCCGGAATGTCCCTTCTTTGGCCGGCCCGACCCGCCTGGCCCTTGCCCGTGCCCGCTCCGCCAGGCCTGGGGCAGCCTCGACGCCCTCGTGGGCCGACTCCGGGCAGCCTACGAGGAGAACGGCGGCGGCGGGGGGCCCGAGGCCAACCCGTTTGGGGACCGGGCCGTCAGGCTCTACCTGCGTGAGGTTCGGGACCTGCAGTCCCGGGCCCGAGGGGTCAGCTATGACAAGAAGAAGCGCAAGCGGCCGCCGCGCGCCGGAGACGGGGGGCAGCCGCTGCCGCCTGCGGCGGCCGGCGAGGGTTTGGATTAGGGTTTGTGATTTTTTTATTCTTTTTTATTTATTATTTTTTTTTCCTGGGTTTTTTTTAGTTTCTAATGATGTCTGGAAAAAAAAATTATGTGGGGAGTAATTTTACGCTCACTCTCAGAAGTGTATGTTTGATATTGAGTCATGTATTGGAATCTTTTTTTATTTTTTATTTATTTTTGCTTTTCTTCAGATTTTTGCTGTGTTTAGACTTTAGTGTTTTCAAAGATGTTTGGTGTATTTTATTTTATTATTATTATTATTTTTTTTTTAATATTTGATTGGGGGTGCTTACATGACATGGTAAGTAGAGGTGTTATTATTCAAAAAAACCAAGTTGTTCGTGAGCACGATATGGTTAATTCGGCTTGTAAAAATCGAGTTCGGCTTAGGCTCGTTTAGTTGCTTTCACAGCTAAACGGGTTAGTTTAGTTAAAGAGTCTAGCTCGGTTTATTATTGTTCATGAAGAACTCGTTTGATTATTTACCTTTAGGTTATAAATGAATGAAATTGGGCGAATCGGACTTTTTTCACAAATCAATACATTTCGTTGTTGTAAACAACTCAGTTTAGGCATTTGGGTTTATTAAACGAGCCGAGTTGAGCTGAGTTTTCACTTGAATAAATGAGTGGACCGTTTTGTTCGATTTGTCGAAGTAGCTAAACCGAACTAGCTCGTTTATTAAATGAACATAAGTTTGAATATGAGCTAATTTGGCTCGACTTGAATAACACCGACAAATTTTGCAGGTTTACTATTAGGCCAAGACTTTGAAATCCTCATTGACAAAATAAAAATGGTAATGCTTTATTTATTTATTTATTTATTTATTATTTTATTATTATTATTATTTTATTTTTTTTTTGGTGATTCTTGTGTGGATAATGGCAATATTATTGATGTTGATTAGTGTATGGTTGGTTTTAGGTTTGGTTTATTATTGCGTATTACGTGAGTACAGCTTTAGGATAATTTAATTAAATCTTAGTGTTGTCAATTCAATGGAAGTGGATGAAATAATTGAAACACACAAGACAAATATATAGATCTTAGGTTCTAATTAAATATTATAATGTCCTAATCAATATTGTTTTTTTAACCCTTATATTAAAAAAAAAAAAGCATAATATGAAGATGTGCAATAATGCTACTTATCCAAGTATGAAAAATAGTGTTAGCAAAATCACAAAAGTGAAGGAGATGGTCAAGTTGAGCTGAATCAAGCGCTTCGTGTTTGGTATAGTGCTCGTCTAATAAACGAGTCATTTTTGTTAGGTTTGGTACACGAAATCGTAAATGTGTCATTCGTAAAAAAGGATTTGTGCTTTTGCTAAGATGCTCAACTCGACTATTCATTCGTAATTTAAAAAAATAAGTAAACGACCAAAATGAGCACGGCTTGACTCGTTTAATAAACGAATTTGTTTAGTTGTTGTATGAGTTGAACTCAAGTTTTCATGAATCGAACTGTATTTGGTAAACAGTTAGGCATTATTTTATCAAATTTCATGTCATTCTACTGGATGGATAACTATAAATACAGCGTATACTCTCTACTTTATTTATCAAAATTTTAGTCCTTGTGAATGCAGAAAATCATTGTTGGGAGACTCACCCACCATTGACAGGTGTGCGACCCGAGTCGATCAACGGATTAGTAGGGGCAACGCTCCGGATACCGTGGCTGGCTACCAAAAAAGAAAAAATTAGCCCTATTTATTTATTACTATTGTTCTTAAGCGTAATTTTGAATCATTATTTTAATTTAAAATACTATTATTATTATTATTATTATTATTATTATTATTATTATTATTATTATTATTATTATTATTATTATTATTATTATTATTATTATTATTATTATTATTATTTTGTGACAATAATTCCACCAAGACACTAAATACCATTAATTCGAAATATGATACTGATCTCTTGCCAATGAATTTGGCTCCCAATTTTTTGCAATACAAACCGAATAAAGGAAGGAAAAGGGAAACTCACAAATTGTCTGCATATTGGTTTTTAGGATATAATATTTAACTATAAAAGTTTACATATTTTCAAATTATACATTTATATTTTTATTGATTTTCAAGATATAATATTTATTTAAATATTAAAAAGTCTACATATTTCAAAAAGTACAAGACCTTTGTATAACCGACATTTTTCCTCATTATTGCTTAATTTCTTTTATGTGGTGGCTGCTAATCATCTGACCATTATTCTTTAGTCTACAAAATAAATAAAAAAAAAAAAAAAAAAAAAACAGTAGAGTAAAGGAAGAATTTTAAGTGTAAAATCGGGGCAAAACGAGTGAGGTCCCGCATAGGTGAAATGCACCATAAGAAGGTTAGTACAAATGAAACCCAAATGAGATTATATCTCAAAACCAATTGGTGAATGGAAGAGTCTAGGCTTATAAACTAGGCTCGTTTACCTTATCAAATCAATGTGGGACAATTCACAAGTGATATTCCAACATGCCCCATCAATTGTGAGCTCTTCATCAGACCACGCCTCCACTAGGTCGAGTACATTTTTCAGCCCACGCCTACAACCAGGGCGGGTACATTATTTTTTTATAAAACCATCGCATGTACAAAATTAGGACCGCTCAGATACCACGTCAAACGGAGAAAAAACATGTAGTCTCGTACAGGTGAAGCGCAACACAAGAATGTTAGGTTAACCTAAATGAAATTCAAGTGAAGTTTCATCCCAAAACTAATTGATTTTGAGATGAAACCTCACGAAAATGCAACTAAGCTCACCTCTTATGAGTTATGATGCGCTTCACCGTGTGGACCGCACCGCACATGCCCGATTATCAAAAATGTAAGTTTTCTTTTTCCATTTTAGAAGAAAAATCACAACATCTGCCGACACAACTAAGTACATGATGGGCAAATCTTTTTCAACATTGCTTGGACATAAAAGAAATTTTTCCAAGTTCCTTTTCATTTCTCTTTACTAAAAGTAACTAAAAAGCTCATGAGATTTTGTTTCTATCTGACCAGAAAAAAATATTCTTTCATGTGATCAAAGATTATATCATAGAAAATAACACAGAATAATCTGTTTTCCCATTATATTATGAACTTCTGATAATTTATTTTTTGTAGAAAGTTCAACGTTGCTTGATCTGATAGTATTTAACTTGGAAAAAAAAAAAAAGTTATAATGATAAGGTAATTTATTCGCGCACCATAACAGCGTGAGCTCAAATGAAACTCAAGTAAGATTTCATCCCAAAATTAATTGGTTGATGAAAGAAGTACCTCACTAGATTTATTAGTCTGCATATTTTTCTCTTTATAAACGATGTGGGACGACTCACAAGCAGTATTTTATTATAATATATTGAACTTTTGTATAACAAAACAAAAACAGCCAGGTAGAAAATTCGAGAAGACTGTAGAAACACACAGTGAGTGAGCCTCACAAACATATAGGGGGTGATTGTTTATAGTTTGAATAGTAAAAAAACTAGAATTTTTTAATTATGGTTAAGTTTAAGAAAAAGTTGTATGATTAGTTGTTAGTGGATATATTAAAATAGTATTTAAAATAAATAGTTAAAGTTGATTTGATGTAAAGTATGAGAAAAATGATTGGAAGTGATAGTTAGTTAAAATTAGTTAGAATTATGTGAGTGGATGAGTGAATTAAAGTTGATGTGATATGTAATAATGATTTGTTGATGTTATTTAATTATATAATAATATTGGAGATAGTGGGGTTGAGTTAAAGTTGAGTTAAATTTGAATTTGAGTAAAAGAAATTACTGTAGGGATGATAAACAATCATGCCCATAATTATTTCATAGTTATTTGGAGAAGAAAAAAGAAAAATGATAATAAAAAAAATAACAAATAATAAAATTATTAGTTAACTAATTAATACTCGAAAAGAACAAGTCAAATTCTAGAAAACTCCAATTTCCAGAATTTTCACTGTACTTCTGCCAGTATTACTATTTGACAATAAATTCTGATAAATTACATACAGTACGGTACTTTTGCTAGCTGCATTTCATAGTTACTTTTGCTACCTCCAATTTTTAATAGACTCCTATTTTTAATAGATGTCGTATTGAGAAGTTGTACATTAATTAAAAATATTTTTTTGTCAATAATAACTTTATTTAATGAAGACAGAGATGAATGTTTTAAGAAAAAGTGAAGAGTGAATATAAAAAGACGTAATGTATTTATTAGCTAAATGAGAGTAATAATGAAAAAAATATGTACAAAAAATCCAAAACGACATTTATTTAGTGAATAATTGATAAAACTAGAATGACATTTAAAAAAAATAGGAGGGAGTACGATTTAGCAAAAAGCAAAAATAATAATCATATGACCCATTTACTAATTAAATAATTCCTTCTTATATATTTTATAAAATTTTGTTATGGAACCATGAGTCATCCACAGTTACTCATAAATAGTGCATTGACATGTGTCCTGCAATAAATACACTTTGGACAAATGTCAATACATTAAGGGTATGTTTGAACCAAATCCTCATTCAATTTGATTTTTCCACTCGAAGGGGCTCGCACATGTTTCATTCGAAAGATCTGTTATGGATATTTCATATCCCCCAACGATAACTCCAATTCCTTCTGAGTCTGAGGAAGACGAAGACGAAGACGAAGACGAAGACAAAGACCAAGAAGACGAAGACCCGTAGTCGATGGACAACAGGTGAATATTCCTGTACTACCCCCTTGTCCGACTGTTGCTGAGCAGTTTTGGGATATCAAACGGAGGGCGGATGTAGCCAAGTGGATCAAGGCAGTGGATTGTGAATCCACCATGCGCGGGTTCAATTCCCGTCGTTCGCCCATGACTAAAAGCCAAATAAGGTAGCTTTTAGCTTATTTGGTTAGCTTATAAGCTCCCTGTTTAAAATAAACCTCGTTTGGTAGGACGAGCTTTTTTAAAAAGCTCGAGCTTATTTCATAAGCTACTTTAGTAGCTTTTCAAATAA